AGGAACCGTATAAAAGTTCTCGGATGGGAGAGCAGCTCATTCACTCAGCTCCGCTCCTTCTTCAGAGCCTTCACAGCCAAGGTAAGTTGCTACTACACCGCTAACATTTCGTTCCTATCAAAATTTGCTGAACTGAGCTGAGCTATGCTCTTACAAAGACAAGTCTGTCTGCAGGTGCTGGGATTATTGAGAGCCAAGTTCTTGCCTCGGTGGCTGGGGCAATTTTGCGTTATCAAAATTGGTCTCAAAACTGCCTATGCTAAGAAGCAACATTTATTGTTCTTATCACATGTAGATATATTTGGATTACTTCAGTGTTCAGGATTCCTAGTTTCCAAAGGACAAACTGGAAATAAAAAAGTAAAGAATGGGATTTGGGAATGAATGGGAGACAGCAGGCTGATCTTTCATAAGAAACCTTGGGTTTAAGCTGGGAATTTTAATTGCACTTATGAGCCTGACTCCTTTCCTAAGCTCCTTTGGAAAATGTAAATCTTTAGGAGCTGAAAGTGTTAAGCTGCTCTTGAAGAAATATAGGAAAGAACTGAGAAGGCAGATGTAAACTATGAGAGGAAGGAATAGCATGAACAGCCTTCATCTCAGCTGGCCGCATCTTGGATGCCTTCTGCCTCCTTGAAACATCAGCTGCCCTCAGAAAGGGGTTTAGATGTGCAGACAGGATTTTCCTCATGCCTCAGGAAATTGGGCGCTGGGCAGCCCAGGGTCTGCAGGGCACAGAAGGAGCAGAGGGCAAGAGGAGGGAAGAAGGCACAGGACCTCTTCATTTTGAGCACCTGGCTTTGAAATTGCATTTTGTCGAGGCTCTAATACCACCACTCGTGGCTGTAAATTCACGGGCTGTGCCAGGACCCCTCTAGGCTGCAAGGTTTTTCAGACCCTTGCCAAAGATGCCTCTTGCCAGTGCAGCATAAACTGGCAGCCCACAGCGCATCTGCTCCTCCGTTACACAGCCCTGAGATAATCCCAGGGTGTCTTGCACGAGTGCTCGTGGGATGCAGCAAGGGAAAGCAGGGAAACGGCTCACGGAGCCCAGCAGAAATGGAGACCAGGGCTGCTGGGGGGGTTCGTGAGGGCGTTCAGATGGTGCGGGCTGATCCGGCACTGCGGGAAGGAAGCCCCAAGCCGGGGAAACAGGACGGGCAGACAGGCAAATCCTGCCAAGCCCCAGCACGCTCGTAAACACATCAAGGAAATCTGAACCCAAAGCAGAGTGGGGAAAGCTCGCTGCCCTTCATGCATCTAACGACAAAGGTCTCTCCTTCCCAGGGTTTGCCGCACCAACCGAAAAAATGTGCTCCCGTGGAGACAGAGGCTGCCACAGAACCGAGAGCTCTCCTGCCACGACAGCGAGAGGTCCTGCCACGGCTCCGAGGCCGTCATCTGCCACGAAGTGAGCGCCGTACAGGATGTGACGCCGGTGGTGGTCCTCCCCCCGCAGTGCCCCGGGCAGGTGCCGGTGGCCCCCGCTCCCTGCCAGCAGCAGCAGCAGATCAAGCAGCCGGTGCAGTGGCCCCCGCAGCAGCAGAAGTGAAGGGGCGAGGAGGAGCCGAGAGTCAGCGCACACCGCGGGGCTGCGCCTCTCCCCTCTCCTCCGC